GGCTGGATAGAACCAGAGGGACCCCACCAACCCCTCACTCCAGCGCCATCTACCTCAGCCTTCCCCTTGTAGCCCTTTGCCCAACACTTCCATTGACAGAGAGCTCGCTCCCTTTGTGGGAGGAGGGTCCCCACCCTTTGTCTCCAGCCCAGGGTGGGAAAGGAATCCCCCGAGACAGGGATGCCAAGGCAGGGAGGCCTGAGATCAACACCAAGGCCCTAAAGAAGCAGTATGCACAACGCATGTGTGAGGCCGGAGTACAGGTCACGCCGCATACACAGTGAGAGAGGTTCCTGGATTCCCCGACTGCTGTCTGCAGGAATCTCCTGGGACAGAGGCCAGATCAGAGGGAGAGGCTCCACCTGGCGGAATGGGGCCAAGGGGAGAGAGTGGATGGGGCGGGTGCAGAGAGGTGGGAAGCCAAGTCAGGAAGAGACAGGAGGGGCAGAAATCAAGGCCAGACTAGTCCCCTTCCAAGGCTGCCTGCCTGCCCCTCCACTCCACAGAAACACAGAAGGGCCCTGGGCACGGGTTCACTTGCCTCCTGGGCTTGTCTCACTCAAATCAAGGTGAGAACTTGGCCAGCTTCTTTAAAGGGTTTCTACGGCCGGGCGCGGTGGCTCAAGCCTGTAATCCCAGCACTTTGGGAGGCCGAGGCGGGTGGATCACGAGGTCAAGAGATCAAGACCATCCTGGTCAACATGGTGAAACCCCGTCTCTACTAAAACTACAAAAAATTAGCTAGGCATGGTGGCGCGTGCCTGTTATCCCAGCTACTCAGGAGGCTGAGGCAGGAGAATTGCCTGAACCCAGGAGGCGGAGGTTGCGGTGAGCCGAGATCGCGCCATTGCACTCCAGCCTGGGTAACATGAGTGAAACTCCGTCTCAAAAAAAAAAAAGGGTTTCTAAGGGCTTCCATGGAGGCTGCACTACCAAGGTGAACCTCAAGAGGGAGCCCATTCTCCAGGGCAGGGGAGGAGGCGTCTGCCAGGGGAGTGAAGACGCCTGATGGGGACCCTGCACCTCACCCTGCACAGGCTATAGGACCTGGCGGGCAGGGACGGTTCCTTTCGTACCTTTGCATCTTAAGGATCCAGCCCACAGCCCACAGGGTCTGTTGGGTGACTGACTGCATGAATAAGACTTCTAGTTATACATAGACTGAAAACTTCCACTTATCTCTGCTTCTTTTCAAAATCCCACTAACATGTTAATAAATGCATGTTTTAAAGACAAAAAAGGGCCGGGCGTGGTGGCTCGCGCCTGTAATCCAAGCACTTTGGAGGCCAAGGCGGGTGGATCACCTGAGGTCGGGAGTTCATGACCAGCCTGACCAACATGGTGAAACCCCGTCTTTAAACAAATAAATAAATAAATACAAATAAAAAATAAAAAAATAAAGACAAAAAAGGCAGCAGATAAGGGGGTTCTAATAAAATTTTGGAAAACAAGGCAAATGGACAAGTGATAACTTTCTTATGAGAGCAGAGAAAGGCGAAAGCTAAATGCTTTCAATGAGGAGGAGGCTGGCCGGTTGCGATGGCTCACGCCTGTAATCCCAGCACTTTGGGAGGCCGAGGCGGGTGGATCATGAGGTCAAGAGATCAAGACCAGCCTGGCCAACATGGTGAAACCCCGTCTCTCTACTAAAAATACAAAAATTAGCTGGGTGTGGTGGCGCATGCCTATAGTCCCAGCTACTAGGGAGGCTGAGGAAGGAGAATCACTTGAACCCGGTAAGCCAGGGTTGCAGTGGGCTGAGATCACGCCACTGCACTCCAGCCTAGTGACAGAACAAGACTCTGTCTCACAAAAGAAAAAAAAAGTCTACATATGAAGAATGAGAAAAGAGAAAATCACCGCATACCTTCCCTCACCCCAGCCCCCACCCCGGCTCCTTCCCGTGCCTGGCTCCTTGAACACTGATGATCAAACAGAAGGAGAGACCTGGTACAGATGCCAGACGGTCTGGGGCCAGCCAAGGTTTATCGGGCATTTAAGGAAAACCTCTAACTCAAAAGAGAGCCTGCAGCAAGCCAGGAGGAACACATGGATTCTATGCAGTTAGGGCGCCTTGAGGGCTCCCCACCTGCCTCCACGCAGCTTGCCATCTTCTCAAAGAAAGCGGGACAGGACAGCCCGGTCTGTGTCGTGGGCTGCTTGTCCGGGTCTCCGGACACCGTCTTTCCTTCCCACACTAACCCCATCTCTCTGCACAGAAGTATGCCCCATGGATTTCACCACCATACCTACAGGAGGACAAGACTCTTAGGAATGAACCCAGCTGAATTCACCTTGTGGTGTGCTGGTAAATGTTTAATGATGAGCTCTCCGAAAAAAAGAAACCCCAATTTGTAGGCATTTGCTCACTTCCACCACAGCTGATTTCAAACTGCGGACAGGAAGTAATTGATTGTGGACTGGGGAAGACCTGGGCCCCACCAGCTCTTACAGGCCAGTATGTGCTGATTCCAGCACACCACTGGGGTCCCCTCTGAATGGCAGTGACTGGGGACTCACTCAAGCCACTGCTAGGAATCCAGTGCCCTCTTCCTCCATTCCCCTCTTCCATGCCCATGACCCATGAGCCCAAGTAGCTTCAGAGCCAGCTCTTCTGGACCAGAGGAGACAGCAAGGATGGGAAATCCATCCCCCACCAACAAACTACAAGTCAGAAGCAGCAGCTTTATGTAAAACTGGGGCTGGAAGGGGACTCCTTAGAGACTGTGTTCATTCCCCGAATTCTTCCTCATTGTGCTCCTCCAACTGGGGTACAATGATCTGATAAGAAAGCAGGAGTCCGCCTGGCGCAGTGGCTCACGCCTGTAATCCCAGCACTTTGGGAAGCCGAAGCGGTGGATCACCTGAGGTCAGGAGTTCAAGACCAGCTTGGTCAACATGGTGAAACTCTGTCTCTACTAAATATACAAAAATTAGCCAGGCGTGGTGGCTGGCGCCTGTAATCCCAGCTACTTGGGAGGCTAAGGCAGGAGAATCACTTGAACCCAGGAGGAGGAGGTTGCGGTGAGCTGAGATCACACCACTGCACTCCAGCCTGGGTGACAAGAATGAGACTCTGTCTCAAAAAAAATAATAAAAAATATAAAAAGAACACAGGAGTCATGGACGGTTGATGGATCTCTTCCTTTTTTCTTTTTATTTTTTATTTTATTTTATTTTATTTTATTTTATTTTTCTTTTTTGAGACGGAGCTTCGCTCTTGTTGCCCAGGCTGGAGTGCAATGGCGTGATGTCGGCTCACTGCAACCTCCGCCTCGTGGGTTCAGGCAATTCTCCTGCCTCAGCCTCCTGAGTAGCTGGGATTACAGGCACGCACCACCATGCCCAGCTAATTTTTTGTATTTTTAGTAGAGACGGGGTTTCACCATGTTGACCAGGATGGTCTCGATCTCTTGACCTCGTGATCCACCCGCCTCGGCCTCCCACAGTGCTGGGATTACAGGCTTGAGCCACCGCGCCCGGCCTCTTTTTCTTTTTTTTTTGACAGAGTCTCACTCTGTCACCCAGGCTGGAGTGCAATGACATCATCTTGGCTTACTGCAACCTCCACCTCCCGGCTTCAAGCGATTCTCATTCCTCAGCCTCATGAGTAGCTGGGATTATAGGCACCCGCCCTCATGCCCAGCTGATTTTTGTATTTTTATAGAGACAGGGGTTCACATGTTGGCTAGGCTGGTCTTTTTTTTAAATTTTATTTTATTTTATTTTATTTTTATTTTTTTTTTTTTTT